TGAAAGCAATTGGCTATATATTGAGCACAAAAATTTGGTTGCATAGTCAATTTTCAACGAAATCTACAGGAGATTCTGGTTAAATAATCAAGCCTTAATTTGGATGGTTGCTATTGATACAAATTTTATGAGTGTATTTTTCTTGACTAATCTAACTAAGCTAGTATTTTTATCTTTCTTTCACTAGCTATGAAAATATAGACTCAATCCTAATCCCTAACTTCATGGTGCTACATTTCAGTCGTAAAATCATGATAGAGAAACTATCCTCTTGCATATATTTGGACATTATTCCAATACAAGAAAGATAATTTCATTATTTGAACCTTTTATCTTCCCAATAACCAAGTAGACCCTAGCTAAATCCCCAAAAACTATACGGAAAACTTTCCCATTTCCCATTTTCAGGTTTCATTGTCCTCAATTCCAGTTACATTCTGTTAGGTTCCTTTATTCAGGGAACCAAAACAGTAGCTTCTCTTCTCACTCATGCACTCAACAGCAGGCAAGAAACTGTATGTATATGTATTTTATTCAATCTGTAATGTATAGAAAGAAGAAAATACAAGTAATGATCTCCCAAGGAAGCCTCCCTTCCTCCACTGGCAAAGAGGTCCAGTCTATACCCAAAAGGAAAAATATCTGATATCCTCTCCCTCTATTCTGTTTGTTTATTTATACTTTCTCTCTCCTCTAACAGACTAACCTCTCTTCCCACCTCTAATTTTCTCCCCTTTTATTCCTCCTCACATATACTTTTAATTGTCTAACACATTCTCTGTCCATTTTTACAGACCTTCAAATGGGAGTTATGTTGCATGGCTTTGAAACTTAGCAATTTGGTGTCCAAAAGTATTGTTTGGAAGCTGAATGGATATGGTGCCTTCCTAATTCTCGTGGAAGTTAATTCATGTGGAATCCAATAAATTAATAGTTAAAGTAATTACTGAATAGTAGACGGCTACAGTTTAATTTGAATTTTCTAAAAACATGTCTTATGAAATTTTGTTCAAGTGATATTCAAGTTTAGAAGAGATTCATTCAACAAAGGGACAACTTTCATTTTTCTTCCTACCATGCCCAGAAAGCTACCCAGGAGAAGCAATTTCCTTCCAAGTTTATCCATGAGAATCATTGCAATAACAGACCCTGAAGAAGTTACACGAGAAGGTTGAGAGGAATAAAAAGCAATTGCAAATCAACAAATAAACAAAAATAAAGGAGATAAGCGAAACAATACCCACTAAATTGCAGATTCCTACACACGCGTTTGCAATATCAGATGGCACACCAAAACTTTCAAAGACAGTTGAAGAGAAGTAAAAAACAGCATTTATGCCGGATAGCTGCTGCAACCCAAAAAGCGCACAGCCAATGAACATCACTGCAAAATGCATTTAGTGATTTAGCAACTATAAAAAAAGACACAAACAACTATATACTACTGCAAAACAAATGATTTTAGAATTTTTTATATGATTAAGCTAGCCTATAAAGATACACTACTGTTCCATTAGAATAAAATATTAAGATGTGTAGTCATGTACCTCTGAAATAGCGGCCACAAATTAAATCTGAAAGTGTGACTGTATCAGATGCATCACCTTTGTCAGCCTTTGACAGTTCAACCATTGCAGATTTCACATGTACTCCTCCCAACAGCTTCTCAAACTCAGCTTCAGCTTCAGTGGTTCTTCCTATCTGAACAAAATAAAAGAAATATAAGTGTTTGTGTAGAAAAATGAACCTAATCAATTAAAAAAGGAAATAAATACAAAACAAAAATAGACAAAGGGGAGGATGAGACCCTTGGTACTCTACTTAAAAAACAAAAAATACAGATAGTCAATAAAAAAGTTACAAAATAGACATCAGAAAGGGTATATTTATTTATTATTTTAAAAAAGGGAATTAAGCATTGGGAGAAGGAAACCCGGAATCTCCTGTTTTCAATCTTAAAGAGAAAGAAATAACAGAGCCAAACAAAAGGCAACAAAAGAGTAGTCTTTCAATAGCACCACATCAGCAAAACATTGTTCTATGAAGGGGTATCAAATAAAGAGACCTTCAAAAGCCCTCTTCAGAATCAAGTTAAACAAAAAAGTAAAAGAAATATAAATTAGAAACCATAAGACATGATAGTTCCTAACTTTTTATTACCTCATTCCATCTTAAATATACAAGTGCAACATTAAACTTTATATATCATCAAAAAGATCAAATTAATAATTAAATATCCATAGGCCAGAGTTGGGATAGAAAAATTTATAGTCCAGTAATCAATCTCCCAAATATGATCCAAAATAGTTGAAAGCAAATACATTAAATTATGTTTTGACAATTAGTCTTAGGAATTGAAATTTCTTGATAGTTTTAAACACATGGCGATTAGATAACCTTGAAAAGCCAATGAGGACTCTCTGCACAGATCTCCATAAAAAGAGCAAGCATTGCAGAAGGGACGACAGATACCCAGAAACAAATTCGCCACCTGAGTACACAATTTCCACATAAAATACAACCTTTAAAAAATATGTGCAGAAAATGTAATTGAAATTGAATTGCCCTATAAGGCTCCAATAAACATATCTTCACAAATATCACCAAGCCTACATAGCTTTTCATACCAACCAACTATTTCCTTTGATGGGATTCCAATAAAGAAAGAGCCCATGAGTCCAAGACATGTTGCAATTTGGGTTAAGGCTCCATAAGCACCTCGAACAGCTGGAGGTGAGACCTATAAATGCAAGTGGAATTAAGCCAAGAATAAAAAACCTCTACCGAAAAATACAATGATCTCAAACTGGAGTGAAACAAAATTGCTGATATCATCTAATATACCTCAGCCACATAAAGAGCTACAACAGGTGGGCCAAGTCCCATTCCAGTACCAACAAATAACCTTCCCAGAAGCATGCCCCACAGAGTTTTTGCTGTTGCACTGCAAAAGTTGTGAATAGTAAGCTTATAACTTTATCTGCTGTTTTATTGTGTTTGTGAAGACCTTTTTCTCCTTCTTTCTCATTCACCCTTTCCCCCTTGCGTTATCTTCTGTTTTTTATAGAAAACATCACGGAATGGGATGACATTAATTTGAAAACAATTAGCAAGAGAACCTTAACAATAAAAATATAAAAAAAAAAAGAAGCAAAAGCTTGAGGAAGGGATTTCTTCTTTGTTTTATAACAACGATTATTAAAGTTGTAAAGTGATTTCTCAAATTCTTTTCCAGATTTCATTCAGAGATAATTTAAAAGTTCTCTACCAGCAATAAGTTGAAAACCGAAATTCAAACTTAAGACAGAAAATAGGAAACCTTTTGAAATCCTTGTGACAGGGTCTAATTTTAAAATAAGGAACTATGGATTATAAATCTTCAATGGGAAAAATCCCTCTTGATCACACTGAAAACAGAAAAACAAAGATAGAAATACTGCACAATTTCAAGGGTCTGCAATGCAATCCCCCATTCCTAGCTTNACAATTAGTCTTAGGAATTGAAAATTCTTGATAGTTTTAAACACATGGCGATTAGATAACCTTGAAAAGCCAATGAGGACTCTCTGCACAGATCTCCATAAAAAGAGCAAGCATTGCAGAAGGGACGACAGATACCCAGAAACAAATTCGCCACCTGAGTACACAATTTCCACATAAAATACAACCTTTAAAAAATATGTGCAGAAAATGTAATTGAAATTGAATTGCCCTATAAGGCTCCAATAAACATATCTTCACAAATATCACCAAGCCTACATAGCTTTTCATACCAACCAACTATTTCCTTTGATGGGATTCCAATAAAGAAAGAGCCCATGAGTCCAAGACATGTTGCAATTTGGGTTAAGGCTCCATAAGCACCTCGAACAGCTGGAGGTGAGACCTATAAATGCAAGTGGAATTAAGCCAAGAATAAAAAACCTCTACCGAAAAATACAATGATCTCAAACTGGAGAGAAACAAAATTGCTGATATCATCTAATATACCTCAGCCACATAAAGAGCTACAACAGGTGGGCCAAGTCCCATTCCAGTACCAACAAATAACCTTCCCAGAAGCATGCCCCACAGAGTTTTTGCTGTTGCACTGCAAAAGTTGTGAATAGTAAGCTTATAACTTTATCTGCTGTTTTATTGTGTTTGTGAAGACCTTTTTCTCCTTCTTTCTCATTCACCCTTTCCCCCTTGCGTTATCTTCTGTTTTTTATAGAAAACATCACGGAATGGGATGACATTAATTTGAAAACAATTAGCAAGAGAACCTTAACAATAAAAATATAAAAAAAAAAAGAAGCAAAAGCTTGAGGAAGGGATTTCTTCTTTGTTTTATAACAACGATTATTAAAGTTGTAAAGTGATTTCTCAAATTCTTTTCCAGATTTCATTCAGAGATAATTTAAAAGTTCTCTACCAGCAATAAGTTGAAAACCGAAATTCAAACTTAAGACAGAAAATAGGAAACCTTTTGAAATCCTTGTGACAGGGTCTAATTTTAAAATAAGGAACTATGGATTATAAATCTTCAATGGGAAAAATCCCTCTTGATCACACTGAAAACAGAAAAACAAAGATAGAAATACTGCACAATTTCAAGGGTCTGCAATGCAATCCCCCATTCCTAGCTTTTTATCATTTCCCTTAACGGATTTCACCCCTCTTTTCCAACCATCCAATTCAAGTCATTTATCAGTGATCATAAAAGAAAATTGATTAGACCATTTTTTTCACTGAAGAAACAAGGCTAGTCTAGTTTGTTAACATTACGCAGTTCCCACAAAGTAAGGAACAAGGAAGTCCAAACTCAAAAAAAAATGAAACCGGATAGAAGAAAATTAGCCTTTCAAAAAACTGTGGTTTACGCACACACAATATAGCTTTTGTGCATCAGTTGTACCAATAAAATGCAAATTTTATTGCACAAGAAGGCAAGGTGACACAAGTAATGAAAGAGACAATAATTTAACTTATGTAGCTGATACCTCATCCCAGCCCCAATTATCATAGGTAAAGCACACAACTGGAAACTTCTTTTACGCCCAACACCATCTGCCATCCATCCACTGAACAGAGATCCAACAAAAGCACCTCCTAAACATACACTTACTACAAGACCTTCATCATAAAAGGAAGTAGATAATATTTAGATGTCAAACATGATAAAAACATTAATGTTTGTCATCAAACTAAGATGAACTACCTTCTGCTATTGTATTCCCACTAAATCCAAGATCTATAGAAATGCTCTCTAATGTTTCATTCACTACTCTGCATTGGCAATAGCAGTAAGAAAATAAGATATTTTATACATGCAAGAAGAATGAATGTGAATCAAACTTTGGTATAAAAGAACATACCCAATATGGTATCCATACAAGAAGGAAGAAAGAGAAGCCACTAGTACATGCCGAAAAGAGTGCCACCAACATGGTTTGGCATTCTGTATACGCACTGAAGCTATGATGAACGAAATTCTTCTGTCAGTGATATCATTATAGCATCTTCAACGGAAGTTCTTTCAAGTAACTTGCAAAGGATTTTATTTCACGTTAAATGTCCACAAGCCACATCACTCCTAAGCTAGTGTTTTACAGTATTTGCACCAATAATGGGATTTATAAGCATTCTACATTTTTATAAATCATTTTTTGCACTTCACTTTTTGAACATTCATAATATTAATTTTTTTTATTTAAGTATTAATTTAATACAGATGTAGTTTATATATTATAGACTTAGTGTCTTATTTGAGACCTGGCTCTTATTTGAGACCTAGCTCTTAATTCTAAGAACACATCAACCAACTCCAATGGATATATCTTTCAAGGCCTAGTGCTTATATTTAAGACTTATGTTAAGATTTTGGCATTGGAGTTACTGTTACAAAAAAACCAATTTCTCCAATTGGCATATAGAAAATTACCAAAAAAACATTAAACACTTCTTTTTCATTCCCTCTCCCTATAGAGAGAATAATAATTTAGATTACACACTAGCTCACTGTTAGTTTACTTTTTTTATTGTTCTTAATTATATTATTGACCATGTTTTGCAATGTTATCAGTGTGTACATATCAATGTCAAACCAAATTTCACAAGCTCGTAAGTGAAATTGGGTGTTAAAATGTGTCACCCAATACGCTACATGAATCAATACTCATCAAAATATAAATTCACTCACTGTCCTTTCAGGAAAAAAGTATGTATATTCATCTGCAAGATTCAAAAGAAGCACAGAAAAACATACATGATTATGTAATATATACTATGTAATAAAGATACTATGGCTGAATTGATTTGAAGTAGCCATTTCCATTTTTGCCTGAAAGTTGAGTTCAGTCTCCACTGCTGTATCCAATTTGAACACATTTTATATCTCTTTTGGATTACCACGACATTAGTGTAAAGTATCTACTAGTTTTGCTGATATACAACCTATTGTGGGGTCTCTCCTCCAAAGCAAGTTTTCTTCATCCACAAAGTTTGAATTCAACACTTGTTAAGGGATCTAAATCCAACTCCACTTGAACCATGGTCGTGGAATCACCCAAATACGAACTCAAGAAATCTAATTTTTTAAATTGTAAAATGCAACTACTTAGTGCATGATTGATTTCCCACTAGTTTTGGAAATTGTTTCCTAAAACAATTCGGCACTACTCAGCAATCAACTTCTCATCCCAAATCTATAAGTTGAGAAATGTTCTTTAATTCTCTTTTGTTATGTTTAAGCTCTTTGGAGGAAAAGTTCTAGAAAACAAAAGAATAATCAGGAGACAAATCCGTTTAGAAATGTTCAATAGAAGACAAACAAATTTTAGAAAACAGTAAACGAGCAAGACATTAGTTTAACTGTATTAGTAATAAAAAGAAGAGTTCAATAGTTAAACGCATGCAATCTAAAAAAAGTTTTACACTGTCAACAAATCACAAATCATCGTTAACTATAACTTCCAAAATTATCAGACAGTGATGTGCGATTGGTTGACAGTGTAAAATACCCTATCAACGCATAACCCATTTATTCTAAAAAGAAAAACACATACATGAACGAAAAGAAAGCCAAGGTACCTAAATTTTCATCTTTATCCTGGCCAAGTATGTGATCCTTGGATGCTACCCGTTGCCTTCCCCGCATGGCAAAACGATATATAACTTCTTCAAAATTCGCCAGAGAGCACCTTCTGATATACACTATTGCATCATCATAACAACAACATCAGTTGAATTGGAGCACATGGCACTGGCAACAACATCAAGCACAACACCCCACCAATCTCAATAATAAGATTGCAAGAAAAATTCTCAGATCTGACACCCCAAGAACTTCATTTTCAATCACATGATGTCACCTCTACCATTATTTTTCCATGCACATTGTCATTCCCGTAAATCTCACCGTTATCAGTTTTGTTTTGTTCAAAAGGGGTTTATTTTTTTGAAGAAAATCACAAAAATGAAGAATGCTCACTTCTCTAACTGACCATCCCAATCACAGAAAAAGCTAAAACTTTCCTAAAATGTAATGGTACCCAACACAGGAAAAATAATAAATGAAAAGTGAGAGAGAAAATTGGAAGGTGGGTACCTCGTTGGTGCGAGATGAAGAATTTGGAATGGCGTTAGAAATGCAGGGAGATCGATGCAAATGAAAGTGAAAAAAAGAGTGAGGAGTGATCATGGCAGTTGAGGACAATGGCACGTGTCAGTAGGTGACGCAGTCGTAGCAAAAGAATAAACCCACCATAGATTTCGCACACACATGTCTACATATACGCATATGCATAATGAAGCACATGCAAGTTAAGTGTGATACAAAAAAGAAAAAAGTAGAACAAAATTTTGTACATGTGGCAGATTCTAAGGTTCTGGTGTTTGTTTCTGATATCATGTGCTTACGAAGAAGTAGAAGAAGACTCCAAATTTGGCTAGGATTTCATTTGCATTTGCTTGCTACAATATTCAGTGCGAGTTTCGCGACAGAACAAACAATGAAGAGAGAAAAAAAGATTGCAGATAACAATTTTTTTCCTTGTTTGATCGAAGAAGAGAGTAAACATATAAATTAAGGGTCTTTTTTTTTTTTAAGTTGTTTTCTTTTTCTTCATTTTGTTTTTCTCTACTAAACATTGGGAGAGCTTCAAAATGTGAGGAATTAATATTACTTTTTAATCAAATTTCATTTGTAATGTTGTTTTATTTCATTAAAATACATATTTCATGCACTGTTTTCATAATTAGTCATGAAAAAATGTAACTAGCTCGAACTACTCTTATTTTATTGTTATATGCATAATTAATATTTTTGCTCTATTTACTTTCAATCTATCATTTTTTTTCTTTTATCACTCAATTTCAATTTTGTAAACATTATTAATAAATAAAATCTTACATCACAATTTAAAATATTCAGTATATACTCAAATATAATTAGTTATAAATATTAATTATATAAAAACAAGCATTTCCTTTTGCAGATGCCAATATACTATTTAGAATTAAGAATAATGACTTCATAAGCTAATTACACAGTGATCCATAAGTGCTTTTATTTCTCAGACAAAACTTTCTAGTGCTTCCTTCGTTCTTTTTCATATTTATAGCAAAATCTTAATGTATTTGGGTTATGTTATGGGAGTTCATAAGGATTAGGATAGAATAAGTCCTCCTGGTTTTATGAATCTACAGACACAACATATTATTTTACCACAGAAAATTACAGAAGCATTTCATCAGACACAACACGTTAATTTTTAAGAATACATAAATAAACAAGTTTGACATACATCAAGGTTGGTATTGTTAGGCAAAGGCAAAGCACACACTCCTTAACCAACCCACCTAGGTGGATGATGGCATTGTTTGAATAAAGAACCAAATCGATTTTTTTTTCTTTCTGCTGAAATTATGAACACATGTTGGTGGAAGTTGGCAAATGGGGCAATAGCCTTATCAATTGGCTGACAAACACCTCAACCCATCTATGACTGCGAATTCATTGTTTGACATAGAAGGAATTTGAAGCGTAAGGAAGATAAACAATGGTAGAAAAATGATAGCTTTAGAAGTAAATGAATAAAAAAATTGATCATCTCAGAAGATAGATAGTCCCTATAACTGTAAGTGTAAGTTACCTGATCTCTAGGTCAACCCCTCATATTATATACTGTGCAACTAAATTAGGACACACGGCGATTTTGTTGCAATATTGAATGCTTACAAAACAGTCACAGTGGCTAAAATTGTGATCAAACATAGACCATCTTTTAAAACCCTGTTCTTCACCTATTGATTGCTGCACGCTCAAGTGAACAATTCCTTTTTTCTGGGCATTACTTAGGGTAGTATTACTCTTATTAGTTTTATGCTCAAGGGAACTTCATTAAAAATTATATGCAAAGAAGCTAACCCAGCACCAAAAAGTAAGCTTTAATTCATTGATGTAATAATGTACTGATCTTTTGAAAACATTAGGTAATCCATGCATTGAAATTTGCATAGGAGTGATGACAGTCAAAGCCCTCTTTCCCCTCCCTCTCCTTAACTAGCTTTTCCCTTCCAATCTAGCATAGCATTTTGGTAGCACATTTTACTGGCCCAAGATATCTGTTGCTGACTTGTTCAGGATTTGAAAAAGCTCTTCCCTGTAATCAGAAAAAATCAAGTGAAGCTGCTTCCAAACTGAGTGCTCTAGAAGCTAAACCTTTTCACTGGGATTTCACTTGAAAAAAATCAGTGAGGCTAATTTATAAAAAGAAAACCTTCACTATGTGAGATTAATCTCTTTATTATGTAGTTAATCACCACCAGTTTATGACAGTATTAATCAATTACAGTGGTCAATGGGCCTTTTACTGTAAATGTAATCCATTTCAAATTTTTCTTTTACTTACACAATTTTTTAATGAGGATCAGGGGTCTTACTATGTATGTGCTTAATATTAAGCAAAAGTGATGATGAAAATCAGAGTAAAGGGACCAAATGCTTACCGGTCAGGCGAATACGACGATAGCGATAAGGTAAACCCACTGAAATAAAAGGAAAAAAGCTTGCATTCTTTCCAAATTATAATAACTGACATAATAGAAAAACACACGTCAATTATGCAGAAAGCATTACAACAGAGTAAAATATTCCAATTAATTCAAATACAGCTGGGAAAAGTGGTAATTGGTCAATGGCCTGCAAAACAAAATGACAAAAACACAAAATCAGTAGGGTGCAAACCTTTGAATAAAGTCCACGAACACTTGCTTTTCATAGTAAAATTATGTACAGGTTCAACAGCCAAATCAAAAAAGGAAGAAGGAATGTCATTGTGAAGCAGTTTTCACTTAAAAGAGCTTTTCAAAATCTTTAGTAAAGATTTATTTGTGGATGAACTGTTATAACTTGTTAAGAAGTGGAGTTTAAGTCTAACTCAATCCCACAAAATTATGCATCCATTTATATACTCTAAATTGGTCTTATCTCTAGTTGATGTGGAACTTCCAACACATAACCCAAATGGATTTGTTCTTCTACCATCAGACCAATTTTTTGTAGCAGTGGCCATATCAGCCCATGCGCTATGAAGCACTTGCACTTGCATCACAATTTTTACCAATGCATATCAATGGAGATCCAAACCTATAAAAAATGTTATGAAAATCTAATACAACTAGATACGGAACATAAAAGTGTACATAAGATAGAAATATAGAAACAGTGTCTCTTTGTGACCCAAAAATAGAAATTATCCTCGGATGACTCTCGAGAACAGAATAAGTCTGAAATCTCTCTACTCTTACCTCTAGCAATAAGCAAATGAGTAGTTAAACCATGATCTAAATTATGGACAATTATATATTTATTATGCATTATCAAATTTCAACTGTATCCAGTAGCAAACTACTGATCCTACACATTTTAAGAAAAGTTGCATAGCTGTCAGATCATGAAATATCTAATACTATGTCATCATATCCAAAAAAATTCAATCATGTATTCATTCCAAAACACTGAAAGTGGAAAAGGTTACCGCAACCAAATTTGTTGACGCCCAAAACGCTGCTACAGCTGCAAATCCCAACCCAAAAAGTCCCAGACGGTCTTCAGGTTGATCCCACTGTTTCAAAACCAGTAAACAGTAGCATAGGTATATAGTACCTTCTGTGTCACTTTAAAAGAGGGACAAGATGGATAAGAGTGAGAGGAGTAACTCACAACATTCTGAACGGACTTAAAAACAGTAAGGGAAGTTGAAGATTCAGAACTTCCCCCGGAAGCCTTCACAACCAAAGAAACATTGCTCTGTCTCCCTGTGATGTAAGCATAACGAAAATCAAGAATGTGATACATAAATGATACAAACAATTGACTCACACTTGAGATTCTAATAATCTATCCTTAGGTGAGTCCCTTCCATGCTGACACACTCTCTCTCCAACAGAAGGGACCACACAGTATCAATAACATCTGAGTCCAACCACATAAGGGATTGAAACCACTCTCTACCAAAAACTTTAAAACAATGGGTTAAGGGGTCTTTCCCCAAAGTATTATACTTTTTCATTTCTATTCAATGTAGAACTTGGACTTAAACTTGAATTTACGCTCTAAAAACAAATCAGAAGAAGTTGTATGTAATCAATTAAGTTAGCAATTTTTTTCACGCAACAGTAAGCCAATGTAGATCAAAATTGACCCCTTTATGTATGAAAAGTATACAAGTAACATACATTATGCACCAACGACTTTCATGGCAGAATAGAACCTGATGCGAAAATCTCATGAGTTGTACACGGTGCCAGAGTGCATAATCATGCCAAAAAATCACTTACACTGAGATTTCCAGTTAAATCTTAATTTCCACAGACAGACAATTGCCAAGTTCCAAACATATGCAGGTGGGATTTTACAGTTCAACCTTGGCAATTGCAATGATATCATTTGACCAAGTACTATTGCAGAGAGGAGGAAACCTATTATTTCTCCTTTATGCTACCTTTACATAATCAAAATTTTCTATTTGAAAATAAACTTCCCAGTTCATCTTCTCAAGGATTCCACTTTGAGTTAAACCAAGTATGCTTGAAAAATTAAAAACCCTCTGCTGTCTGAGGGAGAACAAATCTCAACATTGAAAGAAAAGCAAAATAAAAGCAAAGGGTTACCTGAAGGAAGAGAAACAGGGAAAGTTGGGAAGGTTCCTGGGTGTGAATTTCTAGATGGGAGCAGCACATGGTGCAACAAGCTTGCAAAAACAGGAAGCCATTTGAACAACCTACTCAAAATAAAATTACAAAAAAAGGACTACAAAATTTGGCCTAGTTTTCCCCTCCTATGATAATCAGATGACAGAAATCAGAGCCTCCAATGATAATCAGATGACAGAAATCAAAAGTAAGATTTCCTTGTTTGTACTGTCATTGTATTACTCTACTGCTGCAAAAGACGTGTAAGTAAGACAGAATATTCCACTGCAAGGAGTGTGCACCACAAAAATTGAAGAAAATCAAATCAAATCAAATATATTTATTTTTAGGCTGAATACGCTCTTTTGTGACAGAATTACCATGATTTTCTCAATTTTATCATCATGAGTCTGTTCAATTTGGTTGCATTACTTTTAAAATTAAATTAATGTATAATCTCTTCTATTAAAGTGATGGTAACAGGTCGCTATAATAAAAATTATTATGAATAATAAATGATACATTATAATTAAAGTTGATCCGCATGACATAAATAATAAATATTACAATAACTATGTCTTAACAATATTGATAAAATAATTATATTATCTTATTTAAAAAAAAACATACTAAATAGTATTAAAAAAACAAAATTAAAATAAAAAAGAAAACATGAAAAATAATATGACAAGTATCTTATTAATTTGAATTGTGGTATAAAAATTGAAATTTGTTCTTTTTTAAAAAAACTATATATAAAACTTATATTTATATTTTAACAATATATGAAATTTTTTTCTGGATGATGTTAATTTTTAAGAAATATTCCATGTATATTAAAGTTAATTTTGTGACACTTGAATATGTATTTCATATATTATTAATATTTATAGATGAGTTTTATATATAATTTTTTTTAAAAAAAGATAAATTTCAATTTTATATACATGTGAAAGAACAAAAAGATGGCTTCATTTATCACATAATATTACAAAACATTTGTCATAAAAATTTTATGAAAAAATCATATTAACTTTTTATTTATAAAAAAATAAGATTAAATTCAGAACATTTAAAATAAATAAATAAAATTAAAAAAAATCTTACCTTTCTAAATTATTTTATTTCAACTTCCCAACCATAAAGTTGGTCCCTATTACTGTTATATATACTGTACAACTTTTTCTTTTGTAGAAATTAGTACACTTTTTTTTTTCAGAAATTAGTACATTCTTTTTTAGAAAATAGAATGAGGCAGAGAGAGAAGATAAATAGATAAATAAAAAGTTAGGAAGTGAAAATATTAAATATGTTTTTAGTCTCTAAATTATCAAGCGAATTTGTTTTTACAAAGTAAGATACATTTTAATCCTTTTATATAAAAAAAACCTTAATTCTTTCGGGAAGACCAAAAATTTTTGAAGAAGGAGGATTAAAATGTACCTTACTTTGAAAGAGGGACTAAAAACAAATTCGATAATTTCATATTTAACTCTAATAAACTAATATTTTTTTCCAATCACACAACAAAATGAAAAACATTATACGTTGTGTTCATATCACTAAAATTTGTATGAAAATAGGACGAGAACAAATTATAGAAGATAAATGGCTAACATGATTAAATATAGAAAACTATTTTTTTTAAAAATATGTGAAAGCCATAATAGCAATTCATTAGTAAAATGAGAGACTAATATTGTATTAAAATAATCAAGTATATTTATTTTTTCGTAGTTTTATTCATAAGATAAATTGCATAATTAGTTTTTATTTTATTATAATACATAATATTGTTTCTACTTGCCTGTTTTTTTTTTTTTACTTATGTCTCAATTAATGTATGTTTAAACTTAATTTAATTTGTTTGTGTATTTAAAGCATATATGCTTAGATATCTTTTAGAACACAATATTTTTGGATATTGATAAGTTAGGTTTATTAAAAGAATAGATTTACGAGGAAAACACAATACTTATCAGATTTAAACTTAATTAAAGAAGAAATTTATATTATTTTTTACTTAAAATCTTAAGACAATAAATTAATAAGTCTTTATCTTTGTATTATAATTTTTTATTTTTATTCAATATGATATATAAATTCATATTTAGATTTTCAACATGATCCAATCTGCTGATTATTCGATTTGATTTATGTTTGGACAGATAGTGACTGCCTTTATACTTATTAAATTTATGAATTAGGTTTAGCAATTACATTAAAATAAGAATATAAAAGATTTATATTAATCGAGGGTTGGAGATAGTGATTTTGGAGTGTTAAGTATATATATCAGAAACAGTTAAGTGACGATGTTTGTGCTGCAGTAGAAAAAAAAAAAAGGAAAATGGGTGAGATTACGAGAGAAAGGGTGCGTATAGCAATTCAATGAAATAATTTGATTTTTCTAGAATAAAAACAAAAGAAAAATCCCTTTTTCTCCAATTATTTTTCACTTCTCATTTTTCCTCCTCTCTCCATCTCTAATATGGACCACTAGAAAATAAATTACAATTATTTCTTCAACTTACAATGTTTCTTCTTCAATTTTGGTAGTTGTAGAGAAGTTTAGAGTTGGTGTTTGATGAATTATGGTTTCAATTTTTTTAATTAATCAATAAACTTCTATGCATTGTAATTTAATATTTTATTCAAATTTTATTTCTCAAGAGTTTAAGAGATGTTAATTTTATTTTTACTCAGACAAGAGAACACATATCATATCATTCATATATATTATATTTATAATAATATGTCATTTCTGTTGGGTACAAATAAAATTTCACATAAGATAAAACAAGATTTGAGTGATACTATCAAAAATAAATTTGTGAGGGCTTAGTCTAAAACGGATAATATCTCTCCAGTGTAGAGATCTATGTGTATGTGTATGTTGAACTTCCCTACAATTTCACATTAGGTATATTTTATTATTCATTTAACTAAAGCAATATAATTTAATAATTTTTGTATTCCATGAGTTAAATATATTTGATCAGGTTAAAGATTCATAAAAAAAAATTTAAATACAACCAAATGACCTTGTATTCACATATGTAACCAACTAACTTCATAAATACAACTTCATTTTATAAAAACCTTATCAACAAAAACAAATCATCAATTACGTTATTTAAGGTAACTTCACTTACCTAAAACATTCAACTAGTACAAATTGAAACCCAACATATGTCCTATTTTAACATAGGAAACTAAAATATACATACAACAGATTCTAATTATCAAATTAAAAATATCATAAGATACTAAATTAATATAAATTCATCTATACTCATCTAATCTCACATATGTAAACATGTTCATCAAACCTCTCATATATAAAAATGCAAAAAACAAAACGATAAATTATCCCAATAAAACAAAAAAAACATTCTAAACAAAATTTTGATTAATAGACTAATTTTACCTTTCTACTGGTATCTCCTTAATAGATTCGAATCATAGGAAAATATGAAGAGATTGAAATATTAGAAGAGATGAATGATTAACATAAAATCTCATAGATAAAGAGATAAAATAGAAACAATATAGCTTTTAAAAAACAATTTTTTCTTTTGAATAAAGTTTGAATAGTTAATTTTTTTATTTTTTATTTCTTAACTTTGACTAATAAAATATTTATACTCTATTTTATTTAAATCACAAATAATTTTAAACCAAATTAGTTAGAGGGGGACAGGCGAAGGAGCCACGGAAAAGAAGCAAGAGGGGCAAGGATAGAAAGGAGGAGGGAACGCAGGGAGGGCGAACGGAGGAGGAGGGGGGGAGACGGGAAAAAGCGGGGGAGCGGGAGGGAAAAAAAAGGGGAGGAGAAAGGAAGGGAAGGGGGGACTGGGAGAAGGGGGAAGGGGAGAAAAAAAGGATGGGGAGGAGGGGAAAGAGAGGGAATAGGGGGAAAGGAGGGGAGAGGGGGAGATGAGGAGAAAGGCAAGCACACACACACACACACACACACACAGCACAGTCACAGCACACATCTACACACACACACACACAGCTACACGCACACAACGACCAACTACACACACAAACACAACACACACACACACACACACACACACCACAACACAACACACACAAAACACACACACACACACAACAACACACACACAACACACACACGACACAACACACACAACACAACACACACACACACACACAACACACACACACACACACACACACACACACACACACACACACACACACGACAACACCAACCCACACCACACACACACAACACACACACACCACACACACACACACAACACACAACACACAAACACAAACAACACCACACACACCACACACACACACACACACACACACACACACACACACAACACAGCAAACACAACAACACCACACACACAACACACACAAACACACAAGCACACACAACACCACACAACACACACACACACACACACAACAACACCACACACACACACACACACACACACAACACACACACACACACACCACAACAACACAACACACACCACATCACCACACAACACACACAAACACACACACACACACAACAACACAACACACACCACACATACAAACCCACACACACCACCACACACAAACACACACAACAAACCCCACACAAACAACACAAAACACACAACCACAACACACACACCACACAACAAACACACAAACACACACACACACGACACACACACACCACACACACACAATCAAAACATCACGACTACACACACAAACACACACACACACACACACCACTACCACACACACCAACCACACAACACACACACCCACACACACACAACAACACACACACACACCCAACACAAACAAACAACACACACACACACACAACACACACACACACACAACACACACACACACACACACACACACACACACACACCCCACACAAACACACGAACACACACACACACACAACACACACACACACACACACAAACACACACACACACACACCACACACACACACACACACACAACACACAGACACTCACACACACACACACACACACACACACACCACACACACACACACACCCACCCCACAACACACACACCCACACAAACCACACACACACACACACACACACATATATATATATAGTCTCATTTCACTTAAATCACAAATTTGAGTATGTTAAAATAGGGTATGGTGTCAGCACTACTTGTGTAGTATTGACCGTAAGT